TTCCACACCTAGAACCATATTAGCACCACAGACCCTTCTACACCTAGAACATTAGAATCATTGATCTTTTGACACCTAGAAATTTATTAGCACCACAGACCCTTCCAGACCTAGAACCTTATTAGCACTGTTGCCCCTTCCAGACGTAACACCTTAACCACCATGGGCCCTTCCAGTCTGAAAACCTGAGATCCTTGACACACTCCTAGAATCTTAGCACTGCCCACTCTTCCAGTCTTCTCACCGCCCACCCTTCTGGTCCTAGAACCTTCTGGTCCTAGAATCTAGCACCATTGGCTTTTACAGTCCTAGAACCCTAGCACCGCTGACCCTTCTCATCCTAGAACCTTTGCACTTTTGCCCCTTGGCGTCCTAGAATCGTTATAATGCTCTGCTGCTCTCTGTTTAGATGCTAGGGCATTAGCACTGTAGCACTATTGACTCTCTCACTCTTAGAACTTTAGAATTGACGACTCTTTCAATCCTAGGATCTCAGTACCAATGAGCCTGCAGATCCTAAACCTTAGCCTCATTTCGTCTTTGGATCCTACGACCTTGACATAGTTGACGCTTCCAGTTTTAGGACTTTAGCCCTATTGGCCCCTTGAATTCTATAACCTCAGCACCATTGTCCCTCCCAGCCCTGGACTCATAACTGTTAAGCCTTTGAGTTCTAAAACATATCCATTCTTGTGACTGGGCCATGGAACATGGTACTTAGCCATGACTGGGTTAGGCCCCCACTCCAGGGGAAAGGGAGTTCCCTACACCCAAACCATACGTTGGAGAGTAAGGGGAGTGGGTGGTGCCTCCAACTGAATCAGGATGCTATCTCCAGAAGAACTGGAAGGCAACAGCAGCCACCATAAACCACACAGATCCCATTTGGGAATACATGTCAATGGGCACCCTTCTGCCACCTGTGAGCGACTGCGGCAGGGTGGGGAGTCTGCAAAGCTTCCTGGAGCAGTGGGACATAATTCCCATTTGTAGGGAGGTGGTGTTTCTGGCTGAGAGTATGCCATGAGCAAAAGCCATGGGAAGAATGGGGGTGGCCGGTGATGCTTGGGCATGCGAGGGACTAGAAGGAGGGGAGTGAAGACTGGATTGGGGAGGCCTTAAAGACCAGGTGAGGTAGGGTTAGGAGTGCAGGTGGAAGGGAGCTTCCGTCTGGTGAAGCCAAGCGTGGGGGAGGCTTTGCATGCCAGAGCATCAGGCCTGGGCTTGACCCCTACAAGTCTTGCCTGGACACCATCCATCAGGGAGCTGGCTCAGAGCTGGAGCCAGGGGAGCAAGGATTCCAAAGACTTCCTTTGAGGGATGAGCAAAGCTGGCCCAGACAAAGGAAGGGAGTGGCCAGGTCACTCGCACAGCGGGCCTCAGGAGATGGGGATGAGTCGGATTGCCCAGCCCCACCCTTCACAGACCTCCCTGTCTCTTATCCCCACTCCCAGAGAGGTCCTAGGACTGGTGGACGTGGTTGCCCTGGAGAATGGCGAGCTGGGGCCCCTTCTGTCTCCCGGCACCCTGCGGGATTTGGAGGATGAATGTGTCACAGATGTCAAGGTACCTGAAAGTTGGCATTGGCAACTGGGGTGCGGGAGGGGAGAGTCACAGTGGGCTTGGGGTGGCCCTCTCTCCTCCCCCCTTTCACTATTTTCATCTCCCTTTTCCTTTGCAAACTTCTGAGCTCTGTTCAAAAGCCCTGCCTACCTTGCAAGACGTAGAAATTTAAGTCTATATGGTCATTTCTGTCTGCTGCTCAATGTCATAGCCCAAGCACACAGCCTGGCATTGAGATATTCGATCAAGGTTGAATACACTGAGATATTTCAAATCTTAGAGCTAGAGAAAGTTAGTTATAAAACTGCAGCTCGCAGACTCAAAAGCTTGGCATCAAAGCATCTTCTAACCTGGTTGGGCACAGTTCCTGCTGATCAGAATGGCCCCAGATACAAACACGGGGCAGTGCCCGCAGCCCTGAAGGCCAGCCCTAGCCCCAAACACAGAAATCTGAATCTTACCAACTTGGGAGCCTAGGATCTTAAGAGCCGAACCTGTCTACACTCTCGGACCCACGATCTGGAGACAACATTTGACCAGAGAATCAGAGATGTGCAAGACCTTAGAATCCCAAATCCGTTGCCATCAAGTCAGTTCCAACTCATGGTGACCCCATGTGTTACGGAAGTAGAAGTGCTCCATAGGGTTTTCTTGGCTGTAATCTTTACAGCAGCAGATCTCCAGGCCTTTCTTCCACAGCGCTGCTGGGTGAGTTTGAACAAGTCAGCCTTTAGTTGAGTGCAAACTGTTAGGCCCTTGGAATTCTTGAATCACAGAATCTGAGACTCTTGAGCTAATCATTTTGCAGAACCTGAGAGCAGAGTCTTAGGACCATCAAATAATGAAACCATAGACCCTTAAGTCCACCGGCTATTAGATGGAGGAAGCTTAAAACCACTAACTCTTTATGGAATCAAATTGACAACAGCAACTCGAAAGGTTAGATAGGAACCCTAGGGGGCAGTGAGTCTATGTTAATGGTGAGGAACAACTCAGAAAAGGAGGGTGAGAATAGTTGTACAACTCAAAGAATGTAATCAAAGTCACTGAATTGTACATGTAGAAACTGTTGAATGGTGTCTGTTTTGCTGTGTATATTCTCAACAACAAAACAAAATTAAAAAATTCTTAAAAGATAATGATTTAAAAAGCCATTGACTCTCATTGCTCAGGAAGCTGAAGTTTCTGTTTATGTGATGGAAACATTGACAAGGATAATTGGTGAGGGTTGCACAACATGATTAATGTCATCAATATCAGTAAATTGTATGCGTAAAAAATGTTGAATTGGCAAATGTTGTGTCGTATGTATTTTTGACACGATACGAAAGGCGAAAAAACACTGAATTTTTTATTGTGGTAAAAAAATTTACATATAACAAAATAATTGCCGTTTCGACATTTTTTTACATGTAAAATTCAGTGACATTAATCATATTCATCCTACTGTGCAACCATCACTGCTATCCATTTCCAAATTTTCCCATCCCCCTTAACAGAAGCTCAGTGCCCCTTAAGCAATAACTCCCCCTTTCTGCCTTCCTCCCACCCCTGGTGACCACTAATAAACTGGTCCGTATACATTTGCCTATTCTAGCTATCTCACATACGTGAGATCATAACACTATTAATCCTTTTGTGACTGACATTTCATGCAGCATAATGTCAGGGTTCACCCATGTTGTAGTTCGGATCAGAGCTTCATTTCTCTTTATGGCTGAGTAGTATTCCATTCGATGGATAGACCACATCGTGTTTCTCCATTCTTTTTTTTTTTTCTATTGTTTGATTTTAAGACGACATCAGGGTTGTTTTTTCTTTTTATTTTTTTTATTGTGCTTTAAGTGAAAGTTTACAGCTCAAGTTAATTTCTCATACAAAAATTTTATCACTTGTTATGTGACCCTAGTTGCAATCCCTATAATGTGACAGCACACTCCTCCTTTCCACCCCTGGTTTCCCGTGTCCATTCAACCAGCCTCTGTCCCTGTTTGCCTTCTCATCTCGCCTCCGGATAGGAGCTGCCCATTTAGTCTCATGTATCTACTTGAACTAAGAAGCACACTCTTCACGAGTATCATTTTATGTCTCACAGTCCCGTCTAATCTTTGTCTGAAGAGTTGGCTTTGGGAATGGTTTTAGTTCTGGGTTAACAGAGTCCAGGGGCCATGTCTTCTGGGGTTCCTCTAGTCTCAGTCAAACCATTAAGTCCAGTCTTTTTATGTGAATTTGAGTTCTGCACCCCACTTTTCTCCTGCTCCGTCAGGGACTCTCTGTTATGTTCCCTGTCAGGGTGCCATTCATTTTTTTAAAATAACATTTTATTATGTTTTTGGTGAAAGTTTACACAGCAAATTAGTTCCCGTTTGACAATTTCTACGCATATTGTTCAGTGACATTAGTTAATTTTTCCACAATGTGTCAACATTCTCTTTAATTGCATTCTGGTGATTCCGCTTTCAGTGCTCTAGTTTCCCTGTCCCCTTATCTTCTCATCTTTGCTTTAGAGTAATTGTTGACCTTTTGGTCTTATGTCACTGGTTTTTTAACGGAACATCATATTTATGGGTAATATCCTTTAGTTTGTGTGCCAATCTGTTAGTTCGCCAAAAGGTGACCTCAGGGGGTAATTTTGCTTCAAGGTTTAAATATCCTTTATTTTTTTGATGGACACTTGGGCTAAGCACTTGGCTGCTAACCAAAAAGTCAGTGGTTTGAACCCACCAGCCGCTCTGCAGGAGAAAAACGTGACAGCCTTAGAAACTCTATGGAGGCAGTTCTACTCTGTCCTATAGGGTCGCTATGAGTCCAGTTAGCAATGAGTTTTAATATCCCATTGTGTGTATACATACCACATCTTGTTTATCCTTTCATCTGTTGATGGACATTTCCGTTGTTTCTACCTCTTGGCTATAAATCGTAGACTTGGGTACTGAAGGGGTGGGGGTAGTTCTCTGGCCCAGCCTGCTAGCTACCTTCACATCTCCTTGACTGGCCTCAGCTGTGAGCTCTTGGGTAGAATCTAGAGCACTTGGAGCTAAGGGAGAGGGGACCCTGGGGAGGGAGGAGCGGGGGCGGAGGGAGGAGAGAAGGAGAGACCCGCAGGCCAGGCAAGCCTGACTGCTGCCCCTCTCCCCCATCTCCCCACCCCAGGCTCAGACTCGGGCAGCCCTGCTTCGCGTGCTACAGGAGGACGAGGAGCAGTGGGGGGCCACCGAGGACCAGCCCAGCAGCCTGGCCCAGGATGTGTGTGAGGTAGGGGGCGGGGAGGAGGAGGGGGACAGCTGGGCAGTGTGGGTGGGAAGGCGGGACCTCGCCCTCTGTCAACACCTTCTCCTCCCCTGGACCGTGCAGCTGCTGGAAGAACACACAGAGCGTGCGCCCCGCATCAGCCAGGAGTTCGGGGAGCGGATGGCCCACTGCTGCCTGGGGGGGCTGGCAGAGTTCCTGCAGAGGTATGGGCAGGGGGAGTGGATCTGGGGCATCAGGACTCGGGATCCAACAGAGGGTGGGGAGTTGAAGGGAATCAAGGAAGGACAGGGAAGGGTACACAGTGGGGATCCCAGGCTCTTGTGGGCCAAGTGCCCCTCAAGGGGCCGTACCCAGCGATGCTCATCTGTTGTCCCTTCCCCTTCTCCTCCACCAGCTTCCAGCAGCGTGTGGAGAGGTTCCATGAGAACCCAGGAGTCCGGGAGCTACCACCTGACACCTATATCAGCAGGACCATCACCTTGGTCAACTGTGGTCCCCCCTTGCGGTGAGAGCATGCAGTGTGTGTGACGGGGAGGGCCAGGTGAACCGGGGTGCCCGGACCCTGGCAGGGTTGGCAGGGCTGGCTGGCCCAGCGAGGCATGCATGTACAAGGGGCTTCAGAAGCATACGATCTGGGAGTACTAGAAAGAACCGTGGCATCTATTAGAATGATAGAATAACCAAGACACTGGAGAGTTAGAAGGTCCCTGTGCGGTGCAAATGGTTTGAGCGCCACTGCTAACCTAAAGGTTGGTGGTTTGAACCCAGCCAGTAGCACTGTGGAAGAAAGGCCTGGCAATCTGCCTCCCTATGGAGCAGTTCTACTCTGTAACATGTGGGGTCATCATGAGTCAACATAGACTCCATGGCAGTGGGTTTGGTATTTTCTTTTAGTTTTTGGAGTTAGAATTATAGAAACTTAGAAGCCAGACTCCAAGACTGAGAATTACAGATTTTTTTTTTTTTTGCCTTTTTAAAAACTGACTTTCATTTTTTTATTGCATTTAAAAAAATTGGTAATGCATTCACATGGTTCAAAATTCAAAAGATACAAAAGGTGTCTTTTCACAGAAGTGAAAATCTCCCTCCCACCCCAGTTCCCCACACCTGAGAGAGCCAAAATTACAGGTTTCTCCCATGCTTTTGCAGGGACAGCGTGTACACTTGCTGTAAATGTGTGTAAATAAGTGTATATTTGCATCTGCACATATTTTATACATATGCAAGTAAATATATTTATATTTTTATTTATAAATACGATGGGAGCCCTGGTGGCCTAGTGGTTAAAGTGCTCGGCTGCTAACCAAAAGGTCGGTGGTTCTAAACCACCAGCTGGTCCTTGGGAGTACGATGTGGCAGTCTGCTTCCGTAAAGATTACAGCCTTGGAAACTCTATGGGACAGTTCTGCCCTGTCCTATAGGGTTGCTATGAGTTGGAATCGACTCAATGGCAATGAGTTTGGGTTTTGGAATCTTTATGGGAGCAGATTGCCAGGTCTTTCTCCCTCAGAGCTGTTGGGTGGGCTCAAACCACTGACCTTTTGGTTAGCAGATGAGCGCTTTAAGCACTTTGCTACCAGGGCCCCTTTGTATTACATATACATATACATTTATATACAGGTAACTATATTTAACTATGTGTGTGTGTATATATATATACATATATATATTATTTCTTTTCCCTGTTTTTAAAAAACTACAAATGGTAGAATATTGTACACTCTTCTGCCTGTTCTCCCTTTAACAGCTTAGAGATCTTTTCATGTTCGTGCATGAAGAGTTAGAGTTTCCACATTCCTTTTTAATATATGAACCGTATTTCACTGTTTAGATGCACCATCATTTATTTACCCGGTGTCTGATGGATGGGTATTTGACCCCGTTCTTTTTGCAGAGAATAACCTTGCACGCATGTCATTCTCCCATAAGCGTGGGGTTGGAGGCACATACTCCCAGAGTGCACCTGCTGGGTCAAGGACCTCGCGTGGGTTATTTGGGCAGAAAGTGCGAGACTGCCCTCTGTAGAGCTTGGACCAGGTTGCTCTCCCTTCAGCAATGGAAAATCATAGACTGTTACCCTTATGGGAAATTGGGAGCATAGAATTTTAGAATTATAGAGGTCCTGGACCACAGACTTTGAGAACGCGAAAATCATTACATTTTTTTTTAATATTTTATTGTACTTCAGGTGAAGGCTTACAGAACAAATAGTTTCTCATGAAACAGTAGTACACATGTTGTTTTATGACATTGGTTAACAACTCCACAACATATTAACCCTCTAAATTCTCAACCTTTTTTTTTCGGTGAAAATACACATAGCCAAAGATACACCGTTTCAAAAAGTTCTACATACACAGTTCAGTGACATTGACAACGCTCTTCCAATTGTGTTGTTATTCTCACTTAAGGTGAAGGCTTACAGAACAAAATAGTTTCTCATTTAACAGTTACTACAAATGTTGCTCTATGACAACGGTTAACAATCTCACAACACATCAACAATATCCTTACTCAACCTTGGGTTCCCTATCACCAGCTTCCCTGTCCCCTTCTGCCTTCTAGCCCTTGTCACTGGACTCCTGTACCTCGTTAGTCTCATCTGGTTTTACGGGGCTGTCCACTCCCAAAATCATTACATTTTTAAGTGAGTCATAGGTCTCCCCACTGTCACCCAGAAGAGCACCAAAAGAAACTGAGACCCAGAGAGACCCCTTCCCCTCCCCCAACATACCCTAAACCCTCAGACTCCCGCAGCCCTTTGACATCCCCCAGCCCCCCATCATCTCCCAGCCCCCAGACCTTCTCCAGCCTCCTAGACTTCCCCCAGCTCCACCATCATGGGAGCCTAAGGAGAGAGAGCCAGCTAGGCTGTGATGTTAGAGTTTCTTGACTTTTGGCTCCACTGATCCCACAGGGCCCTGGCCGAGCGCCTGGCCCGGGCGGGGCCCCTCGAAAGTGAGCCAGCCCGGGAAGCAGCGGCCAGCGCTCTGGACCGTGTGACCCGGCTCTGCCACCGTGTCCTGGCAGACCTTCTGTTCCAGGAGCTGCAGGTGAGTGGGGTGGGGGGGGGTGCGGGGAGGAGGACAGTGCCAGGACAAGGGAGCGCCCCTTCCCTCAAGTTCCCTTCAGCCCATGACTCAGTGTTTGGGAAGCAGGCGGGAGGAGTGGTATGGCCCTGTCTGGGCTATTTGGGGGGAGGTGTGGGGGTTCAGGAAGGAAGAGGTGGGAGGAAGTGGGCGAGGGGAGGGCAGAGAGGCTCCAGCAGGAAGAGGGCCTGGGGATTGGGTGGAGCCCCTCTTCTCTGGGGTCCCCTAAATCCTTGCCCGGGCTGCCCCAGGCCCTCAAGCCCCATCCACCCATCTCTGGGGCTAGGTCCAGAGTGGGTGAGAATCTGGGGGGGGGGAGTGTTGTGGGAGCATAAGAAACAAGACTGAGACAAGTGTGTGTCCCTGCTTGTCATACGCGCTCAATCCACGTTGTACATCAGCTCCTGCCCCTCCTCTTCTCCAATCCTTCCCAGGGCTCCTGGCCCACTCTGGATAAAAGCCAGAGTCCTCACCCATGAGACTCTGCACTATCTATCCCCTTCCCTCTGACCTCCTCTCCTCCATTCTCCCCTCACTCACTCCACTCCAGCCCCACCGGCCCCCATGCTGCTCCTTGTCAATGGCAGGCACATTCCTGCCACAGGGCCTTTGCACTGGCTGTGCCCTCTGCCTACAGTTCTCTTCTCCCATCGATCCACAGGGCTCCCTCTCTCACCTCCTTCAAGTCTTGACTCTGAAGTCACCTTCTCAGTGACAACTTTCCTGACCTCTTTATTTACAATAAAAGCCCCCCAGGCCCCCCTTCTCACTTCCTGCTATATTTGTCTCCAAAGCACTTACTGCTGCCTGTCACGCTATCTTTTACTTACTTATTTTTGTTATTATCTGTCTTTTCCCATTGGAATGTTAGCTCCTCAAGGGCAGGATTTTTGGAATGTTTTTCAAATAAGTTTTTTATTATGGAAAATTTCTAACATAGGCAAAAGGAGGCAGAATGACAGGTGACCCTTTATGAACCCAGCACCCAGCTGCGGCAAGTCTCAGTCCCTGGCCAACCTCGCTTCATCTCTTTCCTCTCTCATCCCACCCACCGGGTTATGATGATGATTATTTCTTTTTTTTTTTTTTTATCTTCAGTAACTTGTTTATTTATTTTTATTATTGTACTTTATGAGAAGGTTTACAGAACAAACTAGCTTCTCATTAAACAGTTAGTACACATACTGTTTTATGACATTGGTTAACAACCCCACCACATGTCAACACTCTCCCTTCTCGACCTTGGGTTCCCCATTACCAGCTTTCCTGTACCCTCCTGCCTTCTCGTCCTTGCCCCTGGGCTGGTGTGCCCCTTTAGTCTCGTTTTGTCCTATGGGCCTGTCTATTCTTTGGCTGAAGGGTGAACTTCAGGAGTGACTTCATTACTGAGCTAAAAGGGTGTCCGGGGGCCATACTCTCAGAGTTTCTCCAGTCTCTGTCAGGCCAGTAAGTCTGGTCTTTTTTTTGTGGGTTAGAATTTTGTTCTACATTTTTCTCCAGCTCCATCCGGGACCCTCTATTGTGATCCCTGTCAGAGCAGTCGGTGGTGGTAGCCGGGCACCGTCTAGTTGTGCTGGACTCAGTCTGGTGGAGGCTGTGGTAGTTGTGGTCCATTAGTCCTTTGGACTCATCTTTCCCGCCAGGTTATTTTAAAACAGATTCCCGACATCCGCTCATCTCATCCATCAACACTTCAGCCTGGATCTCCAAAAGATAAAAAACCCAAAACCCAAACCCATTGCCATCGAGTCGATTCTGACTCTTGGCGACACCATGTGTCAGAGTCGAACTGTGCCCCATAGGGTTTTCATGGCTGTGATCTTTATGGAAGCAGATCCCCAGGCCTTTTTCTGCAGCACTGCTGGGTGGGCTCGAACCTCCAACCATTTGGTTAGCAGCCGAGTGCAGACCATTTGTGCCACCCAGCAACTCTGTTTTGAAACAAGCATAACCACAATGCCATTTTCATACCTAACACCAAAAAAACCCAAACCTGTTGCTGTCGAGTGGATTCCGACGCATAGCCACCCTATAGGACAGAGTAGAACTGCCTCATAGGTTTTCCAAGGAGCACCTAGTGGATTTGAACTGCCATACCTTTTGGTTAGCAGCTGTGGCTCTTAACTACTACTAGGGTTTCCATACCTAAGACAGGGAACAATAATTGCTTAATGCCATCAGATATTAGGTCAGTGTTCAGATTGCCTCAGCTGTCTCATGACTGAGTGGACGAGGTTTGGTTTGTCTTGTTCTCTGCTGTGTCCCCAGCACTCTGCCCAGGGCAGTGCCCACAGAGGGGCTTTGAGAATGTGTGCTGAATGACTGAATGGAGGAGTCCCTGGGTGGCAGAAATGGTTTGCTTTCAGCTGCTAACCAAAAAGGTTGGCAGTTCGAGTCCATCCAGAGGTGCTTCGGAAGAAAGGCCTGGCAATCCTCCTTCTGAAAAATCAGCCATTGAAAACCCTATGGAGCACGGTTCTACTCTGACACACCCAGGGATTGCCATGAGTTGGAATCGACTCAAGGGCAGGTGGTGGTGGTAGAGGATATGGGGTGCTGGGAAGGGGAAATGGTCTTTGTTCCCAGCCCACTTGGTTCCAAATGGGGTTACCGTGGACAAATGCTTCGCCTCTTGGGGTCTCCGTGCTCATCTGGAAAATGGGCATGAGAATTACAAGCTTCTTAGGTGGCTATGAGGGAGCAATGGGATTTGGGATGTAAAGTGCTTAGCCCAGGTGCTGGCTTCCAGATACGGGCTGTTGGTATCTTCATAAAAGAACAGACTTTATAGCAACAGTGAGCACTCATGGGGTAGATCTTACCATTATCTCCGTTTTACAGAGGAGGAAACTGAGGCACAGCAAGTGGCAGAGCCCAGGCAGTCTGGCTGGAGTCTATGATCTTAATTTATAAACCACTATGTATGTTTTTTGAATATTGTATTGTGTTCTAGGTGACAGTTTACCCAGAAAATTCGTTTGCCATTCAACAGTTCCTACACAGATTGTTCCCTGACATTGGTTGCTATCCCCGCTATGTGTCAGCACTCTCCCCATTTCCACCCTGCCTTCCCCGTTTCTGTCCCTCCAGTTTCCCTGCCTCTCCTCGCCTTCTCATCTTTGCTTTTGGACAAATATTGCCCATTTGGTCTCGTATCATCGATTGTTCTTAGGAGCACATTCCTCACAGCTGTTACTGTTTATTTTATAGGCCAGTCTGTTATTTGGCTGGAAGGTGACCTCTGGGAATGGCTTCAGTTCCAGGTTAAAAGGGTGTCTTAGGGTGATAGTCTCGGGGTTCCTTTAGTCTCTGTCAGTCCAGTAAGTCTGGTATTTTTTATGAATTTGAGTTTCATTCTACATTTTTATCCCATTCTAACTGGGACCTCCTGTTGTGTCCCTGGTCAGAACAGTCAGTGGTAGCAGCCGGGCACCGTCTAGTTCTTCTGGTCTCAGGCTAGAAGAGGCTGTGGTTCATGTGGGCCATTAGTCCCGTGGACTAATTTCTTCCTTGAGTCTTTGGTTTCTTTCAATCTCCTTTGCTCCAGATGGGAAGAGACCAATAGTTGTATCTTAGATGGCCGTTTGCAAGCTTTTAAGACCCCAGATGCTATTTACCAAACTAGGATGTAGAACATTATCCTTTTAGACTAAATTATGCCATTTGACCTAGTTGTCCCATGAGACTGTGGTCCTGAACCTTCACACCCAGTTAACTCAGACCCACAAGGTGTTTGGATATGTCTGGAAAGTATCCATAACTGCGCTCTTTGTGTGCTTTATTGTATATATGAATATATATGCAGCACATACAAATAAACCACTATATATAGTTTAAGGAACCCTGGTGGTGCAATGGTTAAGCACTCAGCTGCTAACCAAAAGGTCAGCCACTCCACAGGAGAAAGATGTGGCGGTAGGCTTCTATAAAGATTACAGCCTCGGAAACCCTATGAGGCAGTTCTACTCTGTCCTATAGAGTCTCTGAGTTGGAATTGACTTGATGGCAATGGGTTTGGTTTGGTTTATATATTTTTTAGATCCCTGAGTGGTGCAGTTTGCACTCAACTACTAATCTAAAGGTTGGTGGTTCAGATCCATCGAGTGGTCCCTCAGAAGAAAGGCCTGATGATCTGCTTCCGTAAAGACTGTCCCCAAGAAAACCCTATGGAGCAATTATACTCTATAACACATGGGATCGCTATGAGCCAGAATCGACTCGATGGCAATGGGGGTCTTTTTTTTTTTTTTTGGCTTTAACAAAGAGAAGTTTATTTCCTCACAGTAATGTAGGCTAAAAGTCCAAATTCAGGGTGTCAGCTCCAGGGGAAAGCTTTCTCTCTCTGTTGGCCTCATCAGTCCTCCCCCTGTCTAGGAGCTTCTCCGCGCAGGGACCCCGGGTCCAAAGGACGTGCTCTGCTCCTGGTACTGCTTTCTTGGTGGTATGAGGTCCCCCTGGTCTTTATATGTTTTGAGAGAGAGTGAAACAGTTGAAAATAGTGGGAGACTGACGAAGCAAGGTAGGTCGGGGAGGGAGAGTAGGAAAGAGATCGAGACCGACAGACTGGGACAGAGACCATTAGAGGGAGAGATATCAGAAAAAGACACGAAGAATGAGACACAGAAGTGGAGTCCCTGGGTGGCACAAATGGTTAAGCACTTGACTACTAGCCAAAAGGTTGGTGGTTCAAACCCACCCAGAGGTGCCTTGGAGGAGACAGGCCTGGTGATCTGCTTCCAAAAGGTCATAGCCATGAAAACTCTATGTAGCACGGTTCTACTCTGCACACGTGGGGTCGCCACGAGTCAGAAGTGGCTCAATGGCAACTAACAACAGTATAAACGTGCCTATATATGTATACGTATATAAATGTGTGCATATGTGTATGTATTTAAGTGTGTGTGTAAGTCTCAACACCTGTTGCCATCGAGCCAATTCCAACTCCTAGCGACTCTATAGACAGAGTAGAACTGCTCCACAGAGCTTCCAAAGCTGTAATCTCCACGGAGTGGCTGGGAAGTTCAAACTGCTGACCTTTTGATTAGCAGTGGCGTGCTTAACCACTGTGCCTCCAGAGCTCCTTATATATGTATATAACGACAACAAAAACCAACCAACCAACCCGTTGCTGTCGAGTCGATTCCGACTCATAGGACCCTGTGAGACAGAGTAGAGCTGCCACATAGGGTTTCCAAGGAGCACTTCGTGGATGCAGACTGCTGACCTTTTGGTTAGCAGCCAAGCTCTTAACCACTGCACCATGAGGGCTCCATGTATATGTATATATATCCTCAAAATTCAGAGAGATACAAAGCAAGTGTGTGTAAGTGAGTAACTGTGGGGAGTGTCTAAATGGGCTGACAGGAGAGTGTGTGCATGCATGCGTGTGATCCTCAGGTAGGGTGTTCCCCCACCCCACCCCAGGAATCACCAGGGGCCAGGCATTAGGTGGGTTACTGCATGCCCTGCTTTTCCACAAAGCTCACAGTCCTAGTTTTGGAGGTTCAGAAGACTGAGCTGTTGCTGGGGTGAGAGAGGGAAGGGGGTCCTAGGTCCCAGTGGCATGGGGACCTGCTTCAAACCCCCGTGGACATCAAGCCCGGGTGTTTCTAGGGACTTCACACTCCGTGTCCACCCTGACTGCAGCACTCCACCCTCCTCCCAGCCTCCATCGCAGGACAGACCCACTGCCCACTCTGACTCCAGGGTCTTGCCCCTAATCCTCCCTCTCCTCCCCCTAGTCATGATCACTCACTAAATCAGTTAAAACCAGTTGCAGTGGAGTTGACTCCAACTCGTGGCAACCCCATGTGTGTCAGACTAGAACTGTGCTCCATAGGGTTCTTTTCAATGGCTGAGTTTCTGGAAGTAGATTGCCAGGCCTTTCTTCCAAGGTGCTTCTGGGTGGACTCGAACTTCCAAACTTTCAGCCAGCAGATGAGTTTGTTAACTGTCTAAACCAGCCAGGGATCTGTGATCACTCACTACATCCTATGACTTCTACCACCTGGATTCTCCTTTCCCAGACCCCTCCTGGCGCCCATCGCCTCGGTCCTACCCCAGCCTTCTCCCTGATTCTGCCTCAGTCTGGAGTCTCTCCCTACCCTATCCCCATCTCTGTAAAGCTCACACCCCAACCCTCTCTCTCCCCTGCTCAGAACCATGCCATGGGTCCTCAGTGGCCTTGGGAGAGAGCTCAGGCCCCTTACTGAAGCCTCCTCACCTTTGTGGTCGGCCCTGCCCACCTGACCGGCCTTCTTTCCACTTCTCCATCACGCCGGTGCCTCCAGCCAGCCACCAGAGTTGGCCTGACAGGCATGTGACCTGCGCAGTTGCACAGGGGCGTCTTAGAAGCCCTCCACCCTCCTTAGTTTAATGCTCTGTTGTTGGCGCCTTAGACTGCTCAATAATTTTTTTTCCATCATTCTTACATCTGGCACTTTGAGAGCCATAAATCCATTTTTTTAATTATTATTATTTTTATTGTACTTCAGGTGAAGGCTTACAGAACAAATAGTTTCTCATGAAACAGTAGTACATATATTGTTTTATGACATTGGTTAACAACCCCACAACATGTCAACCCTCTCCCTTCTCGACGTTTTTTTTTTTTTTTTTTTTGGTGAAAATATACATAGCCAAAGATACACCATTTCAAAAAATGTCTACATGTGCAGTTCAGTGACATCGACTACGCTCTTCCAATTGTGCTGCTATTCTCACTTTGGATGAAGGCTTACAGAACAAAATAGTTTCTCCTCTAACAGTTAGTACACATGTTGCCCTATGACAATGGTTCACAACCTCACAACACATCAACACTATCCTTACTCAACCTTGGGTTCCCTATCACCAGCTTTCCTGTCCGCCTCTGCCTTCTGGCCCTTGTCCCTGGACTGCTGTGCCTCATTAGTCCCATTTGGTTTCATGGGGCTGTCCACTCCCTGGCTGAATGGTGAACCTCGGAAATGACTTCACCAGTGAGATAAAAGGGTGTCTGGGGGCCATACTCTCGGGGTTTCCCCAGTCTTCTTTTGGCCAGTAAATCTGGTCTTTTTTTTTTTGTGAGTTAGAATTATGTTCTACATCCTTCTCCAGCTCTGTCCAGAACCCTCTGTTGTGATCCTGGTCAGAGCAGTCAGTGGTGGTAGCCGGGCACCATCTAGCTGTACTGGACTCAGTCCGGTGGAGGCCTTGGTAGCGGTGGCCCATTAGTCCTTTGGACTAATTCTCAATAATGTTTGAAGAAGGCCCCCCCTTTCATTTTGCACTGAGGCCCACGAATTATGTAGCTGGTCTTGCCAGCCACCCTGACTCTCCTTTGGTTTTCTGAAAGACTCCTGCACACATGCTGTTTCCTTAGCCTAAGCCACTCTTTTCCCCACCCTTTACATTCTCCAGGTCTCAGCTCAGCTGTCCCCTCCTCCAGGAAGTCCTCCCTGACTGTCTGTGCTGAGTCAGACACCCCTTCTGGGCTCCCCCCCAGCCGCCTGGGCTTCCCCTACGCCAGTCCTGCCCACTCTGGGTCCTCCCTATCTGGGGACAGGTCTGTCGCCCCCCTGAACGGGGAGCCTCCAGAGAGCAGGAGTGGAGGGTGCTGCCTGTGTCCCCGCTGAGTCCCGAGCACTACCCAGCCCTGGTTGAGCAAGGAGCAGGACTTTGGGAATCTGTGTTGAAAAAAGTGAAGAAAAAGGGTGGAAGGGAGGAGAACTGTGACCTCTGTCCCCGCAGCCCCACTTCAACAAGCTGATGCGGAGGAAGTGGCTGAGCAGCTCCGAGGCCCTGGACGGCATCGTGGGCACGCTGGGCGCCCAGGCGCTGGCGCTGCGCAGGTTGCAGGACGAGCCCTACCAGGTGCGCCTGCCTCGGGCTGCTTCCCGCTGCGGGGAGACCCCTTCAAAGCAGAGAGCGGCTACCCAGGGCGGGGAGAGGCGCCCTGCGGGGCTCTGCGGGAACTGGGGTGTAAGGCCGGGAGGTGGGGGCAGACAGGGTTGGAGTTGCTGGGAGGTGGGGCTCCGGAGAATGGAAAGAGGGCTGGGCTGGAGCGCCCTTAGAGGGCCGGGAGGGGGTCCTCCGGCTGGTTACAGCGGTGCAGGGGAAGGCATCACCGGGTAGGCCAGGTGTCGGCCTTTGGGCCAGCGGGGGTGGGGGCGGGGAGGGAGATGAAGAAGGGGAGGGGCCGGGTGGGGGCACCGGGGGCGGGATCACCGCGGCTCACCCACGCCTGTCAGTCTCTCCCCATCTCCCCCTCCAGGCGCTGGTGGCGGAACTGCACCGGCGGGCTCTGGTCGAGTATGTGCGGCCCCTGCTCCGCGGGCGACTGCGCTGTCGCTCGGCGCGGACCCGCAGCCGCGTGGCGGGGAGGCTGCGGGAGGACGCGGCGCAGCTCCAGAGGCTGTTCCGGCGGCTGGTCAGTGCGGGACGGGGCGGGGTCTCAGGAACCAAGGAAACTTTGGCCTCTGAGGTTCCCTGGACTCTAAAATGGGGGCTTCGAATAAGACCCTCGCCCAACTTAGGAACAGTCAGCCTCCAAGAATAACAATACCAACCGGTAACCCTCCCAGGCGCAGTTCCTTTGCACGAATAAACCGGCCTTCCAGCGTGAGTCGGTGCCTCTTTTTCCTCAGCTGTAAAATGAGGATAATAGTATTACCTATCCATTGTTGTAAGATCCCTGGGTGGCGAAAGCTGTTTGCACTGGACTGCTAACGTAAAGGTTGCCGGTTGGAACCCGCCCAGCAGCACAGAGGAGGAAAGGCCTGGCGATCTGCTTCTGTAAAGATTACAGCCAAGAAAACCCTATGGAGCAGTTATACTCTGTAACACATGGGGTCGCCATGAGTCTGAATCGACTCCCCAGCAACAGGTTAAAATGCTTAGACCCTACCTGGCACAGAGTTAATACTCCATACCCATTAACTATTGTCATTAGCACAAATAGAAGCTGAATGCCACAGAATCTCAATCCTAGAACAGTATTTCCAAATCCAAGAATTCAAAGACGCCAGATCTTATTTGTACCCAGCTGGAATCAGCAAGGCTGGAAGGGCCTCACTCAGCTGCTATTTCAGGAGCTTCTAGCCTGCAGTTGGAATGTTTTTTGCTTTTGTTTTTCTTTTTCTTTTTAAAGTTTATACTGAGATAATTATAGATGAACACGCAGTTATAAAAAAAAGAATACAAAGAGATCCCTTGAACACTTTGCCCATTTTCCCCCAACGGTAACATTTTGCAAACTTGGAACGGGTTTTGAAGGCCGTCGAGGAGTCCCCGATTATTTGCAAAACTGGAACTATGAATTTTTGTTCAGATTTCCAAAGGCTAAAGTCTGCTTCCCATTTTACAAATGGGGAAATTGAGGCTAGAAGGGGCAAGGGAATTGCCTGAGTACAGGTCTTGGGAGGGGGTTCTTGGGAGGGGGTGGTCTTGGGAGGGGCATTGGGGCGAGAGTGTTAGCCCTGGCCCCTTCCCTCCAGGAGTCACAGGCCTCGTGGTTGGACGCCGTGGTGCCCCATTTAGCTGAAGTCCTGCAGCTGGAAGATACGCCCAGCATCCAGGTGGAAGTGGGGGTGCTGGTGCGGGACTACCCAGACATCAGGTGAGAGCCCCGGCCGGCCAGCGGGCAGGCAGTCCGGGCGGCTTGGCCCCTCGGCCCGCCCCACCGCTTGGCCGAGGTCTCCGGCGGGCCTTGGCATCCGTCCATGCATTTCCTGCCTCCCGGCGAGGGAGGGAGGCGGCGAGCGTGTCTGACGGCCGTTTCCTGCTGGAACCAGGGCATTATTAATACGATTTCCCTCCTTCTCCAGCCGCCGCCGCCGCTGCCGCCACCGCCACCAGGGCTCGCAAACAAACAGGCGGTCACAGGAAGCCCAGGGCAGGGGGGCGCGGGGCCGGCCGGAGGCAGGAAGGGCCGGCCCCGCAGGGGAGCCGCGGGGGACACGGGGACACGCACGGGCACGCGGGCGCACACGCACTGCGACAGGGGCTAACCCTGGAAGGCCACTTGCTTTCCGTGTGACCCTCAGTTTCCTCATCTGTTCCATGGGGATAATCATACTCTCCTCATAGGATTATTGGGGGATTCCCCATCATCATGACCAGTGACAGCAGTAACAAAACCAACCAAAACCCAAACCCATTGCCGGTGGAGTCGAATTCCGACTCATAGCGACCCTGTAGGACAGAGTAGAACTGCCCGCATTGGGTTTCCAAGGCTGTAATCTTTACAGAAGGGAGCCCTAGTGGTGAAGTGGTTAAGAGCTCGGCTGCTAACCAAAAGGCAGTTGGAATCCACCAGCCGCTCCTTGGAAACCCAGTAGGGCAGTTCTACTTCTCCCTGTAGGGTTGCTATGAGTCTGAATCCACTGGGTAGCAACGGGTAATCTTTACAGAAGCAGACCGCGGAGTGGCTGGTGGGTTCCATCTGCAGGCCGCCACGGACCTTTCTGTTAGCAGCCCAGCGCTTAACCACTGCGCCACCAGGGCTCCTTGTAACAAAACCAGCTCTACTCTGAGACACGAGGGGTCGCCGTGAGTCAGAGCCGACTTGAGGGCAACTCGTGGTATAAGAAAAATTATTTTCGGAAATACAGTATATGCAAGTAAGGCCCAACGCTGATCTCAGAGCCGCACAACCTCCCTCTCACATGCCTCCCACAACCCTGTGAGGTATCATCATCATATGAGGCATACAGAAATCAAGCAGCTTTTGGTGGTGCAGTGATTAAGCGCTCAGCTGCCAACCGAAAGGTCGGTGGCTGTAACCCACCAGCCGCTCCTTGGGAGAAAGATGTGGCAGTCTGCTCCCGTGAAGATTGGAAACCCTATGGGGTAGTTCTAATCTATCCTGTAGTGTCACTACGAGTCAGAGTAGACGCCACGGCCATGGGTTTGGTTTTTTTGGGTTTTTTTACCCTAAATATCATAGCTAGCAAGTGGCAGTGTTGGGACTTGAACCCTGGCAGCAGCAGGCTGGCTATAAAGCTGGTGTACCTGGCCAGCACCCACACTGCCATTTGCTGCTGCTGCCACCACCACTAGTATGGTAGTCCTTTTCTGGGATGCAGACATCTTGTACCCAGAGACACAAAACCCACACACAAACAGGCCAAGGCATGGCTCGGGTTTAGGTTCTGGAGGTTAGGGCTTGTAGTTGAGGATAAAGGTTCTGGAACTGATTCAGGACTGATGGTTCTGGTTCTGGGGTATAGGACCCAGGTCCTTAGTAGGCACAAAGTCCTGGCGTCACATGGAGACAGGGGTTCTAGAATTCCTGGTGGGTTGGGGTTTCTGAACTTGAATCTTGAATCAAGGACCTAGAACTAGGGTTGAAAGTTCTCAAGCTGGGCTGAGAGGAGCGGTTCCAAAGCTGGGTTTGGGGGCCATGTTTTGGAGCTGGGTTGAGATGGAAGGTTCTTGAGCCACATTTTTGGTTCAGGTTTTGGAGCTGCAGTGGTGGTGGGGATTCCACTGGGTTGTGGGAAGGTGAAGATCCTGAGCTGGGTTGAAGGTGGTGGCAAAGGCCCTAGAGCTCTTTTGGAATGAAAGTTCTGGAAATAAATGCTGAGTTCAGGATCTTGAGTTGAAATACAGTGGTGGTTCTAGAGTTTCGTTTTGGATCAGTGATCTGGAGCTGAGTTGGGGGGTGAAGGGGAAGGTTCCAGAATGCTGGGGTTAGGGTTGTAGAATAAAGTTGGTTTTGAGCATGAAGTTTCTGGTTGGAGTGAGGGTCCCCAGTTTTAGTTCTGGAGTGGAATTTTGGGTCAGCATGATTCTGGGACTGGATTGTGGGTGAAGTAAGTGTTCCAAGGCCGAATTTGGGGATGAAGTTCTGGGATGGGGTCTAGGTTGAGAGATCTTGAGTTGAGTTTTGGATGAGGGTTCTGGAACTGCGGTGGTGAATAAGGTTCCAGACCTGGACTTAGGGTGAGGTGAGAGTTAGCATGGGAATATGGGTGAACACTTGTGAGCTGAGTGATAATCACGGGGCTACATTGGTGATGAACGCGAAGAAGAAATTAAGAGTTTGCTGTAGAGTCTAGAGCTTAAATAGGCATAAGGGTACCAGAATGGAAATTTGGGAAGATGTCTGAGCTAGGTTGGCTTGAAGATTGAAATTATTTTTAATCAGGAGCTGAGACTGGAATGAAGCTGAAAATTCCAGTGCTGGGTTTGGCGGTGAGGGTTCTGGATTGGATTGTGAGTGTGAGGATTTGGAAATGGTTAGTTAGAGGTGAGGGGGATGGTGTGAGGGGAGAGGTCTGGAGGGAATTGATGACAGGAAAGGGGCGGGGGGTGGGGCTGGTGTGAGGGAAGGGGTCTGGAGGGTCTGGTGTGAGAGGAGGGATGTGGAGGGGGCTGGTCCCAAGAGAGAGGGCTGGAGGGGGCCCGAGGGACCCCAGAGCTAAGGCTGGGGTTGGGGCCCCCGAGCTGAGTGTAGGATGAGGGTTCTGCAGGATTGTGGCTGAGGCCGGTACCTGCCCAGGCGAGGGGTTGGGCTGAGCGTGTGTCTGGCACCAAGGACCCCACGCACCTGTCCACTTCTCTGTCCTCAGGCGGAAGCACGTGGCGGCCCTCCTCGACATCCGGGGCCTTCGCAACGCCGCTGCCCGCCACGAGATCCTGGCCGTGGCCCGGGACCTGGAACTGTCCGAGGGGGGCGCCCTGGCAACCCCTCGGGACCGTGCCTTCTTTGCAGACATCCCCGTGCCCCGCCCGCCTTTCTGCCTTGGCCTCCCGCTCCTCCTGGGCCGCCTCCCACTCTCCCGGCTGTCCAGGCCGGGGCTGACCTGTCTGCCCCGGCCTCGACCTACCTCTCCAGCACGACCCCGGGCCCAGCTCTGAGACTCCCTCAGCCACCCCTCCACCTCAGTGCCCCCCATCTTTGCTGCTGACAAACCATCCCCCTTCCTGTAGGTCCCACTCCTGACTCCCTGCCTGGTACCACAGACCCCTGGAATGGAAAGATCCTTTGGGATCTTCTCACCTACCCACAAACTCAGAAGGGAAACTGAGGCCAGAGAGGACGAGGACTTGCCCAAGGTCACACATCCCTTTCCCAGCGCCCCCTCCCCCAAGTCTAGTGGGGTGGGTTGGTATTTGGAAGTTTCCACCGAAACATCCCAGTCCCTCCTTCCCCTTCACCTCAAGGTCTGGCCCAAATCCAATGTATTAAGGAATGTACGATACTTAGAATAAAGAGGTTTCTATTTAACACAAGGAAGGGCTGAGTCCCGAGTGTGTGGGGGGGAGGAAGGACAGGGGCAGAGCCAAGGGCTTCTCAAGGCCGGGCTGGGGGCCAGCTCTTGGGGGCTGAGTGATCCGCTGTTGGGGCCAGGAGGCCAGGCCCTCTCATTTGTACCGAGTCCCCAGGCTGTGTGACTCCGCGGCAGGGACTTGGCAGGTCTGAGCAAGGGTCCCTCATCCTGGCAAGTCCAAAGTGCCTCTCAGTCTTTTCCGGGCTTGGCGGCTCCACCTTGGCCCGCCCTGCTGTCCATCCTCAGCCGGGAAGCTGTGTCAAGAGAGGAAGGAGGTGGGGGGCAGGGCGGCGGCATCCAGGGCGCCCTCCTGGGTTGACGCAGGAAAGTCGCAGGGTGGGAAAAAGCCCAGCCTCTCACCCCCAGCCCCGCCGGATCCTGGTCCCCACAGAGACGTTGAGGTCACCGCCCTGCTGACCCCTGCCCCTCCGGCCTGCTGGACAGCGCATGACGGATGTTTCCTGGTGTGGTGGTTTTTTTTTTTTTTCGTCTTTCTGAGAAATTGGAATGAGGAGGCAGCCAGGGGTCAGGGTTGCTGCTGGGGTTGGAACCTTATGCACATTTGAACTCGTGAAGGTGGGGACGCAGGACATTTGGAGCCCGAGGGCTGTGTGACCCTGCGCAGGAAGCTGCCCCTCTCTGAGGAATTGTTTAACGGTTCTTTGCCCAGGTCCAGGTAAGACGTACAGAGCCATACCCTCCTCATTGCTGTTAGCTGCCTTGGAATTGCCCAATTCATGGTGGCCGCATGCACAGGGCAACTAAATGCTGCCAGGTCCTGCACCGTCCCCACGATCAGTTGCAGATCGGACAGTTGTGATCCATAGGGTTTTCACTGGCTGATTTTCAGAAGTAGATCACCACACCTTTCTTCCTAGTCGGTCTTAGTCTGGAAGCTCCTCTGAAACCTGTTCAGCATCCTAGCATCACACGCGCCCCCACTGACAGACCGGTGGTGGCTGTACATGAGGTGCATTGGCTGGGAATCGAACTGAGGTCTCTTGCGTGGAAGGTGAGAATTTCTCCCATTGAACCACCCTAAAAATACTCCCACACATATGCAATGCCATTGATATCTAGGGGAGGAGTTGAGGAATCAGCAACATGTTGCAATTTGTAGGCATTTAATTAAACTTGAATTAACCTCAGTTTGCCGGTGTTCTTTTCAGATATTGGTGTCTCCATTTTTTCCATTACATTTACTATTTTATTTTAAGTGTACAATTCAGCAGCATTGATTATATTCACAGTGTTGTGCAACCATCATCACTCTTAGGTTCCGGAACATTTTTATCACCCCAAAGAGAAACTCTGTATCCATTAAGTGGTCACTCCCCATTTCTTCCTCCCCTCAGCCCCTGATAACCTCTAATCTACTTTCTGACCGTGAATTTGCCTATTCTAGATACCTCATCTAAATAGAACCATACTTGTCCTTTTCTTTCTGGCTTATTTCACCTCGTGTAATGTTTGCAAGGTTCATCCATGTCATAACATGCACCAGAACTTCATTTCTCTTCATGATTGAATAATAGTCCATTGTATGGGTATATCACATTGTCTTTATTCATTCATCTGTTGATGGATACTTGGGTTGTTTGCATTTTTTGCCTATTGTGAATTATGCCACAGTGAACATTGGTGTACAAATATCCTTTTCAGTCCTGCTTTCAGTTCTTTTGGGTATATATTAAGGAGCGGAATTGCTGGGTCATGTGATAATTCTATGTTTAATTTTTTAGAAACCGCCAAACTCTTTTCCACAGTGGCTGCTGTTATCTGTATTTTCAAAAACAGTTTATTGAGATATAATTCACATACCATACAATTCACCCATTTGTGTACAATTCAGTGGCCCTTAATACATACACAGAAGTGTGCAACCATCACTACAATTTTAGAACATTTTCATTATCCCAAAAAGAAACCCTGCACCCCTTAACCATCACCCTCCAACCCCAATGCGTTTCAGAGTAAATTGCAGACATCAGAACATTTTCCCTAAATAATTCACCTGCATATCATTAACTAGAGTTCAATATTTGTTAACAGTCTTTCGTTGTTGTTGTTGTTGCTTTTAATTTTAAGTCATGCTTAGAACAGTCATGCTTAGACTCTCCTACTTCCAAGACGGAAAGGAATTCACCCAGGTATTCTTTTAGTCCTTGTGTGTTTCCTTTTTTACACAGAAATTTCTGATTAATTTGGAGTTTATGTTGGTGCATGATGTGAGGAATGGTTTCAACTTTATATTTTGAGGAGTCTCTTCTTTTTAAATTATTTTTATTGAGATATAGTTCACATCCCCTAAAGTTCACCCTTAAAAAATTTACAAACCAGTGGCTTTTAGTGCTGTATATTCACAGAGTTAGATGGATTGACACAGTGGCTGCAACAATGGGCTCAAGCATAATAATGATTGTGAGGATGGTGCAGGACCTGAACATAGGGTCGCTATGAGTTGGAACCCACTGGATGGCACCTAATGTGGCATAACATTCACAAAGTTGTGCAACCATCACATCTACAATTACATATATGTATATATCCTCTCTCCAAATGGCTAAGTAGTTGTCTTGGCGCCACATGTTAAAAACTCCATCTTTATGCCAGAGGTCTTATCACTAAGTGTTCAGGTTAGTTCAGGGCTCCGATTCTGTTGCATTGGTCAGCCTACCCATTTATTCCAACATGTAGGGCATCTTTGCTCACATCACCAACATCCCTGGCCCAGGATTCTGGAAAGCGGAGTGGACAGACAGGCGGCCACGCCTGCCTCACTCCCTCCCCACCGTCTTTTGCTTGGTTCTCAACCGGGACACCAACAAAGACAGAAGCTTGACTCCCCAGCTACTGCAAATAAACCAAGTGGGCACAGAACACAGCAGGAAACTCTAGGAAGGAGAAGCGCCAGGGATCAGTACCCGCCTCACTCTTGGGCATCTCAGCCCTTCCCCTCTATCCCCAGCCCAGGATGGGGGTCTCGCTCCCCTCCTGAGGACCAGTGGACTTAGACCTGGAAATATCCCCCCAGTCCTCTGCCTATGAAGGCCCCATGAAGGCACCTGCACCGCGTGACTGAGGCACCCAGAGGTGTGGGAGGAGAGGCCAAGGGTGTCCACCGCCTCCGACGCCCAGTCTTCGGGCGTCTTCACCAGCAATCCGGTTTTGGGGTGACCGCTCATTTTTGTGGATACAACGAAAGGGCTCACCGTCTGCAGGCAGGAGAGGATAAAAGAAAGGACGCCCCCTCCCAGCCTAAGCCCCCGCCCCACTCTCGGAATCCCACTAGCTGCCATCCCACTAGGGTCTCCGGGCTTCCGCCCTGAGGCCCCGCCCCCGTGAAACCACGCCCCTGACCCTTGCCCACTAAAACCCTCTGATCACCGTCCTCTAGGAGACCCTGCCTCCTGTGCGCCCCTGCTTCTTGAGCCTCACTGTCTCGAAGCTCCCAACCCCCCCAGACCTCTCCCTTTGATCGCTACGCCCCTTCTGAGCCCCGCCCCCGCTGAGCCCGGCACCTGCACGGTGACCCCCTCAGACGAGTATTCTGTGGCCACCGCCAAGGAGAAGCTTCGCACAAAGGCCTGTGGAGGAAAAGAGAGAGGTAGGGTCCCAGGACGGAGAGCCCCGCCCAAGCTGAGCCCTGCGCCCCACGGACTCCGCCACCCAACCCTATCCCTGTTTAACAGTTGAATGCCTGCTTGTTCTAAACCCTCTCTTATTCCCACACACCCCCCTCTCCATTCCAGCTGGGCGAGTCTCTTAATTCCCTGGCTTCCTTCCAGCCTCCAGGTATTTACTAGTTCCAGACTATTCTCTAGACTCCCAGCCTCTGTTTCTGTTAAAAAACAAACTCTGGCTTTCCCTACTGCACTGTGCCCTGGAGATCCGTCTGACCTATAAATAGCCAGCCCCAGACTCAAGTGGCACGTAACCCCCCTATTCAAGACTTTTTCACTATAACCTTCAATGCCTGAGAAAGGCAGTAATGGAGGAATTTCAGGCACGGGCCGTGCAGCCCTGGCCTTGGGTATGTGGGGTCTGGGTACCTTAGTGGCTGCGTAGGCTGCCAAGAGTGGGTGGGGGTGGTTTTCAGCCACAGAAGAGACGTTGATGATGATGCCTCGGCGCCTGGAGGAGCAAGCATCGATTAGAAGGTACTGACTGTCACGAGGAGGAAAGGTCTTCCCACCCCCACTCCTTAGGTGAAGCCCTAAGCTGAGACACATCAGAGGGACAGGGAAGAGTTGGAAACGTGGGTGGGGCAGCTGGAGAATGGAAAAAGCCTGGAGGTTGGAAGAGAAAGAAGCTGGCTCATACCTGGAGACCATTTGGGGCAGGATAATTCGGGTCATCTGGGGAGAAGAGTGGGGGAGCTGTGTCTTCCCCTTTCCAATCCTCTGATCTGCTCCCTGCTCATCAATTTACCCCTACCCCTCTAGCTTCCTCCGTACCAGGGCTGGGGGTGCTGCGGCCACCCTGCGGGCTCAGGGTGACCTCAGACCCACTGGTCCCCGCCCAGCCTCACCTGGACCACGGACAACATGTTGCAGTTCACAATATCCGAAAGCCTCTGGGGAAGAAAATGGACCCAATTACTCCCTCCCTTCATCAGCCCTGCCACAACTCCCGCATTTTCTCATTTCCTAGCTTACATTTTTACATGGAACCCATTTATTTTATTTTATTTATTTTTGTTGTTGTTGAGAATATACCAGGCAAAACATACGGCAGTTTAACAGTTTCTACATGTACAATTCAGTGACATTGATTACATTCTTTGAGTTGTGCAACCATTCTCGCCCTCCTTTTCTGAGTTGTTCCTCCCCCATTAACACAAACTCATTTTTAAGAGAACCCATTTTTTAAAAGTAGCACCTCCTAGAATTTTTTTTAATTTTAATAATATATTTTATTTAATAGAATATACCTTTGAAATTATCATTTTTGCATGGAATGCAAATTTTTTTATTAATAGTGTGTTCTCAGTGCAAATTGACACAGCAAATTAGGTTCCCATTTGACAGTTTCTATGCAAATTGTTCAGCGACATGAGTTACATTTTTCACAATGTGTCTCAACCTTCTCTTTAACTGTGTTCTGGTTGTTCCGTTTCCAGTGCTCTAGTTTCCCTGCCCACTTATCGTCTCATCTTTGCGTAAGAGTAACTGCTGACCTTTTGGTAGCACTTCCTAGAATTTAAATGCACACACCCTTTTGGTCCAGCAACTCCACTTGTAGAAATCTGTTCTTTTCTAAGATACTCACACGTGGGAACTGAATCCAGTATGTTCGAAGAGACTCCTTGCAAAACTGTTTGTTGTTATTGTGTGCAGTTGAGTCGATTGTATATCCCTTTTAGTTCTTTTAAAACTTCTCTCAGCAATGCTTTATGGTTTTTTGTAAGGAAAGGTCTTGCATATCTTCTGTCAGATTTATTCCTAGGTATTTGATGTCTCTTCCTGCTATCATAAATGTTATCCTTTTTAAAAAAAATACTTTCCAGTTGTTCATTGCTAGTATATAGCTATAAAATCCACTGTCTTGATTAATAAATTCATCTGGATTTTCTAGATAGACAGTCTTGTCATCTGCAAATAATGACAATTGTATTTCTTAACAATTAACAGGTCCAGCCTGTTTCCAGCTTTTTGACCTGGTTCCACTGGCTAGGATCTCCTGTAAAATGTTGAGTAGAAGAGATCATAGCAGACTTCCTTGTCTTGTTCCCAATCTCATAGGAAAAGTGTTCAACATTTCACCATTAGGTATGTGCTTGTTGCTGGTTCTTTGTTGGCTGCTTGTCAGATTAACAGTTTCCTTCTATTCCTAATTAACATTTTTTAATTAAATAACGGACATATGTTCATTCTTAGCAAATACTTTTCCTGTATCTATCCAGATAATCATATGGTTTTTTCTGTTAATGCGATGAATTATATAGACGGATTTTCAAATACTGAACCATCCTTGCATTCCTGGAATAAAGCTCACTTAGTTAGAATCAACTCGATGGCACATAACAGCAACACAGTCATGATGTATAATTCTTTTTATATATCACAGAGCTTTGTTAGCTAATTATTTTGTTTAGGATGTTTGCATTTATATTCTTGAACAAGATTGACCTCTAATTATCCTTTCTTGCAATTTTCTCATCAAGGTTTGATATTATGCTTATATGCCTCAGAAAATAAGTTGAAAAATGTGGACCCTTTTTCTAGTCTTTGGATCAGTTTGGAAAACATTGGTATTACTTTTTTTTCTTTTTTGACAGATTTTTCTTTTTTATTGTGGTAAAATATGCATAACAAAATTTACCATCTGAACCATTTTTAAGTGCAGAATTCTGTGACGTTAAGTACATTCACATTGTTGTATAAACCATTACCACTGTCTATTTCCAGGACATGTTCATTAACCCAAACGGAAACTCTATACCCATTAAATAATAACTTGCCATTCTCCCTTCCTCCAACTCCTGGTAACCACTATTCTACTTTCTATCTCTATGAATTTGCCTCTTCTAGCTACATACTTTATATAAGTGGAGTCATACAATATTTGTCCTTTCGTGTTTGGCTTATTTCACTCAGCATCATGTTTTCAAAGTTCATCCATGTATAAGTAGATAGTAGACAAGAATTATCTTCGGTGAAGGGAAGGACAGCACACACTACAGGGGAAGTCAGCACAAGTGGACTAAACCAAAGCTAAGAAGTTTCCTGAATACAATCAAACACTTTGAGGGACAGAGTAGCAGGGGCGGGGGTCTGGGGATCATGCTTTCAGGGACATCTGGGTCAATTGGCATAACAAAGTTTATGAAGAAAATGTTCTGCATCCTACTTTTGTGAGTGGTGTCTGGGGTCTTAAAAGCTAGCAAGCGGCCATCTAAGATGCATCAATTGGTCCCAACCTACCCAGAGTAAAGGAGAATGAAGAACACCAAAGACACAAGGATAGTATTACCCCAAGAGACAGAAAGGGCCACACAAACCAGAGACTTCATCAGCCTGAGACCGGAAGAACTAGATGGTGCCCAGCTACCACCAATGACCACCCTGACAGGGAACACAACGGAGAGTCCCTGATGGAGCAGAAGAAAAGTAGGGTGCAGAACTCAAATTCTAGTAAAAAGAGCAGACTTCATGGTCTGACTGAGACTGGAGGAACCCCAGAAAGCATGGCCCCCGGACTCTCTGCCAACCCAGAAGTAAAAAAATTCCTGACGCCAACTCTTCAGACAAAGATTGGACTGGACTGTGGGACATAAAATGATACTCATGAAGAGTGTGCTTCTCAGCTCAAGTAGATACATGAGACTAAATGGGCAGTTTCTGTCCAGAGGTGAGATGAGAAGGCAGAGAGTGTTAGGAGCTGGTTGAATGGACACAGGAAATCAGGGGTGGAAAGGAGGAGTGTGCTGTCACAGTATAAGGAGAGCAATTAGGGTCACATAACAATGTATGTATAAATTTTTGCATGAAAGACTAACTTGAATTGTAAACTTTCACTTGAACTACAGCAATTAAAAAAAAAAAGTTAATCTGTTTAGCAGCATGTATCAGAATTTTATTTAAAAAACAAACTTTTTCTGTTTTGTTTGTGTTTAATAACAATAACTAACATTATATCTAATAATAATAGCTAAAATTTCTTAAGTACACAACTAAGGCTTATGTGCATTATGCCATTTATGTGCATTATTCCATTGTACTCTCATAACAATCTTATGAAGCCAACAAAAATATTTATTCCTATTGTATGGATAGAAAATTGAGGCTCAGAAAAATGAAGTCATTCACCCAAAGTCACACAACTGATAAAAAACAGAGCTAAAAATTCTATCATCCAAGTATCCTTTCTCAGGAGATTACTAAAGGATATGCTCCAACAAACCAAACCAAAACACACTATAACCTGTGATAGAGAAATTAGGGGCTCCCTGGAATGAAGGTGAAGGGAGGTCCCAAGATTCCTGGCACAGAAGGCAACCAGTCCAGGCAGAAGCAGGACAGAAAACCTTTGGAGAGAATTCCAAGATGAAATTCGTTACTCGGGAGATAGGTCAGGCAATCTGCGTCCGAAAGGTCACGGCCTTAAAAACCCTATGGAGCAGTTCTACTCTGGTGCACATGGGGTCACCATGGGTTCTAATCAACTTGAAGGCAACTAACTACAACAAATGCAATATAATCATATTGTATGATTTCGTTGATATGAAAGGTCCAGAATAGATTAAATCCATAGAGACAGAAAGTAGATTAGTGGTCGCCAGTGGCTGGGTAGAGGGAGGAATGGGCAATGACTGCTAATGGATATGGGCTGTGTGTGTGTGTGTGTGTGTGTGTGTGTGTGTGTGTGTGTGTGTATGTGTGTGCGTGGAGGGGTGATAAAAATGTTCTGGAATTAGATAGTGGTGGATGCACAACTCTGAATATACTAAAACCCACTGAATTATACACTTTAAAAGGGAGAATTTTATATGTTAATTATATCTCAAATAAAATTGTTATTTAAAACACACACATACAAAGACAAAATTGGTTAGAATAGCTGATGTGCTTGAACGTTTTTTATATTTTTGGATTATAGTTTGATGTAATGATAAGTACACAGAAACCCAAACAGATGAAAAATATCAAGAGACAATTACTAACGCCAGGGAGAATGAAAAGTTGTTCAAAAAAGGAAAAGTAATTATAGTCCACTATGTGGCTTAGCTCTGAACAGTGTTTTCATATTCACTTGTAGCCACGTTTATGAAATACCACACTGAGGGATGGAAGGCCTGGAAGGGTGTATGTTTGTGACAGAGGGCACAGGTGTATGTGAATGAGAAATAATCCTGTTGTGGGTAAACCAAAACCAAATCCATTGTGTCAAGTCGACTCTGACTCATAGCGACCCTATAGGTCAGAGTAGAACTGCTCCATAGGGTTTCCAAAGTGTAGCTGGTAGATTCGAACTGCCGACCTTTTGGTTAACAGCCAAGCTCTTAACCACTGTGCCACCAGGGCTCCCTGTTGTGGGTAGTCACTAGGTAATGGCTAAGACTGAAAAAAAAAAAAAAAACCAAAAACAAGATGTACACTGTAAACATTATTTAAATGTATGAGGCTATATTTTTTTAAAAGTTGAAAGTAGTAGCCTCTAGAACAATAGCTCCCAACTGGCTATGATTTTGCCCCACAGGGGACATTTTTGGTTGCCACAACTAGAGAGGGGAGTACTATTGGCATTTTGTGGGTAGAGGCCAGGGATGCTGCTAAACCTCCTACAATGAACAGAACAGCCCCCACAGCAAAGAATCATCCAGCTCCAAGTGTCAGTAATGCTGTGGTTGAGAAATCCTGCTCTAGGGAACAGGAAATGGGAATGGGGGCATCCTGTTTTCTTTAACAAGCCTTATAGAAATATTTGACTCTTTATGTATAACTTTGATTTAAAAAAATAAACACTAAAGAAAAGACTATTTAATTTGTCAAAAGAGATCAGCAGTTGAAACAGGTTTTGTGACCATGTGACACCCATCAGAAGAAGTGTGGACATATGTGTACAGGTAATTCAGAGAAAATAAGCTGTGAGTTCAAGATTGGTCCCAAATAGCAAGCCAGTCAATTGGCATAATATAGTTCATAGAGTTTATGTTTACATCCTAGTTTGGCGAGTAGTGCCTGGGGTCTTAAAGCGTGTGAGCGGCCATCTGATATACAGCTATTGGTCTCTATTCATCTGGAGCAAAAAAGAAAGAAGGAAACCTGAGAATCAGATAAGGACCCAGACTACAGATGAACTGTCTCCATGAACCATGGCCTCCACTACCTTGAGACCAGAAGAACTAGATAGTGCCCAGCTACCACTGCTGAAGGTTCTGCTAGAGTCACAACAGATGGATCCTGATAGAAAGGGAGAAAAATGTGGAACAGAACTTCAAATTCTCATTGAACCTAGACTTACTGGACCCATTGAGACTGGAGGAATCCCCAAGACAACTGCTCTAAAATATTCTTTAAACTTTGAACCGAAGCTATCCCCTGAAGTCACCTTTTAACTAAATAACAGGTCAGCTCAAAAAGAAAGAATGTCACCCTGAGTACTGCTCTCTTGGAAAAAATTATCTCTATGAGACCAAATGAACAGCAGATACTCTAAAGCATAGATGAGAAGCTTGAGGGGCAGTGAGACTAAGTTAATGGGAATGGAATGACCAGAACAGAAATGATGAGAATGTTGACTGTCATGGTTTGACTTGTGTCCCCCAAAAATGTGTGTATCAATTTGGCTGGGACATGATTCCCAGAATTGTATGGTTGTCCTCCATTTTGTGATTGTAATTTTATGTTAAAGAGGATTAGGGTGGGATTGTAACATCACTCTTACCCAGGTCACATCCCTGAACCAATGTAAAGGGAGTTTCCATGGGGTGTGGCCTGCACAACCTTTTATCTCTCAAGAGATAAAAGGCAAGGGAAGCAAGCAGAGGGTTGGGAACCTCACACCACCAAGAAAGCAGTGCCGGGAGCAGAGCCCGTCCTTTGGACCCGAGGTTCCTGTGCTGAGATACTCCCAGACCAAGGGAAGACTGATGCATCACAAGGACCTTCCTCCAGAGCTGACAGAGAGAGAAAGCCTTCTCCTGGATCTGATGCCCTGAATTTGGACTTGCAGCCTACTGGACTGTGAGAGAATAAATTTCTCTTTGTTAAAATCATCCACTTGTGGTATTTCTGTTAGAGCAGCGCTAGATGACTAAGACATTGACATATGTAAAGAATGTAACCAATGTCACTGAACATTATGTGTAGAAATTGTTGAATGGGAACCTGTTTTGCTCTGTATACTTTTACCAAAAATACAATAAAATATTTTAAAAAAATATTTAACTAGAAAAAAAAAGATCCCAAATAAAAATATATAAATCTGTATGTCCCCGATGGCAGGCCACTGGTCTTCCTATGAGGGTCACTCCGTGGAGTGGAATGTAAAAGGGCAGAACCATTAGGGGGCATTGAGTCTATGTTAATGGCGGTGGAATAATTTGGAAAAGGATAGCGATAAAGCTTGTACAATATGAAGAATGTAATCAATGTCACTGAATTGTACACGTGGAAATTGTTGAATTGGTGAAGGTTTTGTGTGTGTGTGTATATTTTCACTACAATTTTTTAAAAAAGGGCAGAACTGGGCCCATCTTGAACAGTTGTACTGGTTGGGCACTGCAGAAGGGCGCCCCATCCAAAGGGCCCTCATTTGCACCACAGACATCATAGATTTGTAGCTTCTAAAACAATTTTCCTGCAAAAGGCTATAGAGTACCCCATTCTAACAAAGTCAGCGTATTGTGCCAGTTTTCCAACAGAGGGCAGTAAAGAGTCAGAGGGAGAGGTGCCACCGGCGGGCTACTGCTGGGTTTCACTCACCTTGGCTGGGTTCTCCACTTCGAACGTTTTCTGTAAGACCACGCTGACAGACATGCCCACATTGTTCACTGAACGAGAGGAAATAGCTTGTCACTCCAACAGCCCCAAGGAAACTAGGTGAGGTCAGAGGGAGGGTGACCACAAGAGGGCCCAGGGTTGGGGTGAGCTTAGGGGTAGTTGAGGGTGTGCTCCCCAGAGCAGGTAAGGACATACCCAGTACTCCAATCTCCAGTCCCTTTAATCCTTCCTCAACGGCTCCGTAGATCTCCAGGCCCCCAGTGAAGTCGACCTGGATGATTCTCGTCAGGGTACCATGAAGCCGTTCTGGCAGAGAGGGGGCAAGGGGGAGCCAGACCCTTAGCTGGAGTCCAGTACTGCAGCCCCTGCCCCCACCTGGCCCTTCTCCCTGTCCTTTTCCTGGCTCTAGCACCCATCCAGCCCTGACCTCACACCCTGTCTAGCCCAGCCCCAACTGCTGCCCCAGCCCCTGCCCCGGTGCTTCCCCAGCCCAAGCCCCTGTGTCTCACCGATCTCCTTTGCCTCTCGTTCCAACTTGCTCAGGTTTCGACTGATGAGGACGATGTTCAGCCCTCTCCTGGCAAGCTGCAGGGGATTGATTGATTCATTCATTCATGCATGCATCCATGCAACAAACTGAGGTGCCGTGGATCACTTTTATATGGCCTTTCTCACTGTGGTCTTGTAATTCCCACCAAATAATTGGGTGGGACTATGCAAATAAAGTGCTTTTGGCCCACCAAGGGGATTGGACAGCTTTCTAATCATGCAAATAAGGTGTGTGGAACACTTGTGGGCGTGGGACCATGCAAATAAGGGGTATGGAACCCTAATGAGGGGATTGGTCAGTTTTGCCATCCTGCTAGGCTTAAAAGAGAGTCAATCCCAGAGCAGGGGGAGAACTCACTACCACTTAGAAAGAAGAGCTGGGCATGGAGTGTATCCTTTGGATCCAGGGTCCCTGCACTGAGAACCTCTTAGACCCAGGAGACAGAGAGCTGTAACACCAGAGATGGTGCAAGATGTGGAGAAGCAGCAGCAAGCAAGGCAGACAGCCAGCAGCAGCAGAACCAGGAGACCAGCAGGAGATGGCACGATGGGCTTCCTGGCCCAAGGGGCAAGAAAGCTGAGTGCCTTTGAGCCAGGGCTTATTGGAGGAGTAGGGTGCCTCTGGGCACTTATCGGTGGAGCTAAAGAGTTTTGTAACACTTGCCAGAGCCGGGCAGAGGCCAGGCTGAGGGGCCAAGGGACGGAGAGAGGCCTGCCTGTGGACACAGCTGAGAAGAGGTTGTCCTGATGGAAGAACTGTATCCTGAGTCATTTCTGATCTTGAATTGTAACCTGTTACCTCCCTAATAAGCCCAATAACTGTAACTACTGTCTGTGAGTTCTGTGTGGCCATTGCAATGAATTATCAAACTCAGCAGAGAAGCAGAGAGTGCCATGGGAGGGACGGCTTGTGTCAGAACTGGTAAAAAGGTTGGAGAGGAGGTATGTCTGACTTCCGCCTCATAGGAATCAGCCTTGAGCCACTGATGCTGATAGTGATTCTCCCCTCTCGTGAAGTTAGAGGAGATCAGATGCCATTTTTACACAAACATTTACTGTATGCTGACTGAGGTTACCCAGCATTGCAGGCACTGTGGATACAGAAATGACCAAAAGAGAAAAGCAAAGGCCTGCCCTCAGGGAGCCTGCATTCTGGAGAAAAAGTATTTCAGGCAGAGGGAGCAGCAGTGCAAAGGCCCTGGTGGCATCTGAGAGGACAGCAAGGGGTCCAAGGGTACACTGAGTGAAGTGGTCAATTGTATATGAGCTCAGCAAGGTGACGGGGGCCAGGTCATAGGTCCTCACATGCCCCAGTACAGACTTCGGCTTTAACTCTCAGTGATATAAGAATCCATTACTTCAAGTGTCCCTTCCTTCCTTCTTTCCTGTGTTCATTCAAAACGTGGTTACTGAGCACCTGCTCTTTGCTGGGTTGTACTGGGGATACAGGGTGACCGTGACAGGCCCAGTCCAGCCCCTCCCTCTTCCTGGGTCCCAGTGTCACCCCCTTCCACCCACCCTCCACTCAGCAGCCAGAGGGGTCTTTCTAAAGCACAAATCTGCCCCTACCTCTCTCCTGCTCAGAACCTGCCATGGCTCCCGAGTGCCCTTGGGACAGAGCCACACTCTCCGTGGCCCATGAGGCCCTGCATTGTCGGACCTGAGACTCCTGCCCCCACTCCTCTATGGAAAGTCTGGGGACAGCAGGCAGTCCATCCAGCCCCCACAAACACCCCCTTCCTGCCTCCAGACCTTCGACGTGCTGCTCCTTCTGCCTCAAATGCACTTCCCCTTGGAACAAACATAGCTCTTAACCGCTGCACCACCAGGGTTTCCCCCTTGAAACAGACGAGTAGCAAATGTTTGTGGAATGGGTGACCCATCAACTGGGTGCATTTTGGCGCATTTTGACCCTCTCAACCTGCTGTCACCGGGTGACATGATCTGTGGGGCTGAGGGCCCATCAGACATCTGAGGAGTTGAGGCTGTGTAATGGTGTGAAGGGCTGTTATGGATTGAATTGCATCCCCCAAAAGATATGTGTTATAAATCCTAACCCCTGAAAGAAGTGAAGAAAAAAAATTCAAGCCTTGAATTGCAATATTGAAAGATTCTATGGGCAAAATATTGAACAAGGCAGGAATTATCAAAAGCAAATGGAAGGAATACACAGAGTCACTGTACCAAAAAGAACTGGTTGACATTCAACCATTTCAGGAGGTAGCATATGATCCAAAACCGGTGGTACTGAAGGAACAGGTCCAAGCTGCACTGAAGATACTGGCAAAAAACCAGGGTCCAGGAACTGATGGAGTACCAGCTGAGATGTTTCAACCAACAGATGTAGAGCTGGAGGTGCTCACTTGTCTATGCCAAGAAATTTGGAAGACAGCTACCTGGCCAACCTCCTGGAAGAGATCCATATTTGTGCCCGTTCCAAGGAAAGGTGATCCAACAGAATGCATAAATTATTGAACAATATCATTAATATCACAGGCAAGTGAAATTTTGCTGAAGATCATTCAAAAATGGTTGCAGCAGTACATCGACAGGGAACTGCGAGAAATTCAAGCTGGATTCAGAAGAGGGAGTGGAACAAGAGATATCATTGCTGATGTCAGACGGATCTTGGCTGAAAGCAAAGAATACTGGAAAGATGTTTACCTGTGTTTTATTGACTCTGCAAAGGCATTTGACTTTGTGTGGACCATAACAAATTATGGATAGCACTGTGAAGAATGGGAATTCCAGGACACTTAATTGTGCCCATGCGGAACCTGTACTTAGACCAAGAGGCAGTCGTTCAAACAGAACAAGGGGATAGTGCGTGGTTTAAAATCAGGAACGGTGTGAGTCAGGGTTGTCTCATTTCACTATACTTATTCAATCTGTATGCTGAGCAAATAATCCAAGAAGCTGGACTATATAAAGAAGAACACGGCATCTGGATTGGAGGAAGACTCATTAACAACCTGCGAAATCCAGATGACACAACCTTGCTTGCTGAAAGAGAAGAGGACTTGAAGCACTTACTGATGAAGATCAAAGACCACAACCTTCAGTATGGATTACACCTCAGCATAAAACAAAAATCCTCACAACTGGTCCAATAAGCAACATCATGATAAACAGAAAAAACTGAAGTTGTCAAGAATTTCATTTTACTTGGATCAACAATCAACACCCATGGAAGCAGCAGTCAGGAAATCAAAGGATGCATTGCATTGGGCAAATCTGCTGCAAAAGAGCTCTTTGAAGTGTTAAAAAGCAAAGATGTCACTTTGAGGACTAAGGTGTGCCTGACCCAAGCCATGATATTTTCAATCGCCTCATATGCATACAAAAACTGGACAGTGAATAAGGCAAGCTGAAGAAGAATTGATGCCTTTGAATTATGGTGTTGGCGAAGAATATTGAATGTACCATGAACTGCCAGTAGAATGAACAAATCTGTCTTGGAAGAAGTACAGCCAGAATGCTCCTTGGAAGCGAGGATGGCGAGACTTCATCTCACGTACTTTGGATGTGTTACTGCTGAGGGACAGAAGAGACAAGGACCTTCCTTTAGGTCCTTTAGGTTAGAAGTCAAGTGCAAACCATTTGCACCACCCAGAGACCAATCATCTTAATGGATGCAGAAAAATTACTTGACAAAATTCATCTTCTATTCATAATAAAAATAGCCACAACAATGAACTCAAACATACCAACGATCATGAAGATGGTGCAGGACTGGCAACGTTTTGTTCTGTTATACATAAGGTCTCGATGGCAACTAACAAGAACAAATTTGTGATAAAAACTCTCAGCAAACTAGGCATACAAGGGACCTTCCCCAAACTTACAAAGGCTACCTACAAAAACAAACAAGCCAACCCTACAGCTAACATTATACATAATGGTTAAAGACTGACTGCTTTCCCTAAGACCAAGAACAAGACAAGGATGTTCACTCTCCCACTCCTATTCCACATCATATTGAAGTTTCTAGCCAGTGCAATAAGACAAGAAAAAGAATAAAAGGCATACGGATTAGAAAGGAAGAAATAAAACTCTCTGTTCACAGAGGACATATGTTATGGATTGAATTATGTCCCCCAAAAATGTGTGTCAACTTGGCTAGGCCATGATTTGCGGTATTTTGTGTGGTTGTCTACAGTTTTGTGATCTGATGTGATTATCCTATGTGTTGTAAATCCTAATCTCTATGATGTTAATGAGGCAGGATTAGAGGCAGTTATGTTAATGAGGCAGGACTCAATCTACAAGATTAGGTTGTATTTTGAGCCAATCTCTTTTGAGATATAAAAGAGAGAATTGAGCAGAGAGGACAGGGACCTCATACAACCAAGCAAGAAGTGCCAGGAGTAGAGAGTGTCCTTTGGACCCAGAGTCCCTCTGCTGAGAAACTCTTAGACCCAGGGAAGATTGATGACACGGACTTTTATCCAGATCCGACAGAGGGAGAAAGCCTTCCCCTGGAGCTGGCGCCCTGAATTCAGACTTCTAGTCTCCTAAACTGTGAGAGAATAAATTTCTGCTTGTTAAGGCCATCCACTTGTGGTATTTCTGTTGTAGCAGAGCTAGATAACTAAGATAACATGATTATCTACATAGAAAATCGAAAAACCAAACCAGTTGCCACCTAGTCAGTTCTGACTCATGGCGACCATATGTGTGCAGAGTAGAACTGCTCCCTAGGGTTTTCAGGGCTGTGACCTTTTGGAAGCAGATTGCCAGGCTCTCTTCCATGGAACCTCTGGGCAGGTTCGAACCACCAGCCTTTCAGTTAGTAGCCAAGTGCTCAACCATTTGTTCCACCCAAGGACTCCATAGAAAATCTCAAGGGGTCTACAAAAAAGCTCCAAGAACTAAGAAGTGATTTTAGCATGATTACTGGTTGCAGGGTCAAAACTTTGGAGTCTTACCCCACACCCAATCTATCCATAAATCTTGTCAGCTCTGCCTTTAAAACAGACCCAGAATCCAACTACTTCACACACCTCTACCGCTGCCACCCTGGTCTAAGCCACCAG